CAGCCCCTCTAAGCCAATGTTGGTGTCTGTGTTTATCTGTGGGTGCGGTATGCCCTTGTGTCGGTTGCTGCTGGACGCGACTTGTAAGAGTTGGGCACCTTGTTTTTGAGACGGGTTGCATGTATACAAGTTCGGGCCTGACTTGTACACAATGTTTTCTTGTACAATTGCGTGCTGCTGCTGTATAACCTGGTGCGTTCTATAAAATTGACAGTTTGTAAACACAAGTTCGGATCTGGCGTGTATAACCACTTCGTACTTCTTGTATGTACACTTGCGTGCTGCTGAGCACTGCTGTGTTCCATTAGAAGTACAAATTCGAGATGGGTTGTACAATACACTATACTATTTTGTATCAATACAAGTAGTGCTGCACTGCTGCATGCTGTACAACTCGTCTACTGTTCAAGATTGTCCGATGCAAACAACGGGATTCGTGTCAAGGTTCTCCAGTACAAACATATGGATGCTGTTGTACTGCAACTTGCCGTTTTTNGCTACTTTGCTGCATGTTTCAACCCACCACGGAGTACACACCCTGCCGCTTTGCTGCTGCTGCGGTTGTACAGCAGTACTGCTGTACAACCGCAGCAGCTACGTGCAGCAAGATCCGCTCAGCAATCGTAGACTCACCGTGCTTGGGCGACAAGCTCCGCCTTCGCATGGGCTTCTCCAGCTCACTTGTCCAGTTGTCCGCGTCTCCGAGCGCTTCCGCCTTCGTCTCATACTTGAAGGCGGTGTTCTTGCGAATGCCCGTGGCATGTGGCCGTGGGCGATACGTGCATCTGAGCCTCCAACGCTTCGTGTTGCTGCACTGCATTGCGCAAACTTGCGATACTTTGCGTTTGTGGGTATCAACGTTGGGATCCACACTTTGTAGTGGCTCCATTGTGGAGGGTCTCCTTGCGTACGAGACGCGTGTGCAGAGGTACTCAGCTGGTTGTACGGCAGCACCGGTGCAGCAGTAGCTGCGACAACGGCTGAGATTTTCAAAAAAAAATGCGGCGTAATTATGTTTTTTGTCCCCGTTTTGGGAAAAGCCTGCATACCATCGAAATATTTGGAGGCTCCTCATTGGCTGAGGCACGTAATAGCCCATATCTTCCCAGCGAATCCTTAAATCGAAATTCCGGCCACGACGATTTGTTCCTTTGCTCGTGGGGGTCACTATAATACTGCGTTTGTCAACATTATGTACAAAATTCGTCTGGCAGGAGTGGTTGAATAAATTTTGGCCCATTTCCCTGAACCAGCTTGTAGAGGTCCCTGTTTAGTGCCGGGGTGTGCGCAAAAAGTTCACCGGCACTATACCGGGCACCGGCGCTTTTCAAAGTACATAACGACTTGATATTCCAGTGTGTGCGAGCCGAAAACACCGGCACTAGACCGGCAACCGGCACTATTCAACCGGCACTAAACAGGGACCTCTACTGTATTGCGCCCCGGTGGTCTAGTGGTATCCTCGTAATCCGCTAGTCGCAGAGGTCGTGNCCCATTTCCCTGAACCAGCTTGTAGAGGTCCCTGTTTAGTGCCGGGGTGTGCGCAAAAAGTTCACCGGCACTATACCGGGCACCGGCGCTTTTCAAAGTACATAACGACTTGATATTCCAGTGTGTGCGAGCCGAAAACACCGGCACTAGACCGGCAACCGGCACTATTCAACCGGCACTAAACAGGGACCTCTACTGTATTGCGCCCCGGTGGTCTAGTGGTATCCTCGTAATCCGCTAGTCGCAGAGGTCGTGGGTTTGAATCCCCATGGGGTGAAAAATTTACGAAATTTGCGGGTGAGCGCGAAATATAGCTAAGAAGCTCTCGTGAGTACCAAACTTCGACGTTAGCACCGTTGACGAGGGAAAAGGGACGGCTGGACCCTTCTCGCGATAAATATAAAATTCAGCACGCACCCCAGGAGGAAGGTGGGGCATGAAAAGAAACAAAAAGAAGAAAAAAGCCCTGGTGTTTACCCCATACTGTGTGACCCAGAATGGTTGTAGTTGTGTTGTCCGTGCACACCAAAAATCCAAAATTTTCCCAGCACAAATGACAACTTTTCTCTGCCCACAGGTGGTTGTTCCGAAATCTGAAAGTACCGGAAAACGCCCTGTTTGCAGGCGCATTGCGTGACGGAGAGTTTTTTTTTTTTCTTGACTTTTTATCGGCGCAAAACCGGAAAAACTGGAATTGTTTTCGCAGGGGTGTGTTCTTTGCCGATTCGAAAAAACTCAACGGATTTGAACAGATGTCGGGATTTGCCAGGTCGGTATTTTTTTTTTTGTCAAAATATTGTAAATTCACGGAGATATCAGAGAAAAAGCGGATCGAGGGGTCTAACTTGTATTGTTTTTCGGGGGATAACTAACCGACCGATTTCAAAATAAACAGCGGCAAACGATTCCTCTCCTCAATATCTAGGTCGGTATTAGGGGTTTTTGTCGGGAAAAATCTGGTTTCCGAGATATTCAACTTTTTGTTGTGCCGTCCCCATGGGAGATTTTTTTCGTT